TTTTTTTTTTCATTTCTTCTAGGGCTGGAAAGAGTAACTATGTTGTACTTAGGGTTGCACAATGTTCGTCAGACCTCCATGTTCCCACGGGATCCCAAACGACTGACACCTTAACATGACCTGCTTCTTACTGAACCTGCTGCTACTGAACCTGTATTGATCTGAGCATTGCATTGCAATATGGAATAAAACAAGAAAATCCAGTTTACTGAAGTGCCACAATAATTTTTTTATTCTCTAATTTATTTAAAAGAAAATATTTTAACTAATCAGAACTCTTTGTATTAGAGACTGGGTGCACATTTTTTATGAAAATGTGATACTTGAGTTAGTTATTCTAGTGTCATTTTCAACTGTATCATATTTCTAAGCATTTTAATTATGCAATTAAAAATTCTTAATTTTTAACTTATGTCAGCAAGATCGAATATTCATAAGTGCTAATTGGATTAAAGCTAAAATAACTGGATGTTTACAATTCAAAAAGCAGGAGGAAAACAACAAATACAGGAGTACCAGTTAAAGAAGCAGGTGAAAAGTGGAGCATTCTTGAAAAAGTCTTCGTATCAAGTTGTGAAAAGTAGATTGCAATAAATCTCTTGAAGTCAATGAGATGCAATATGTCTGTTTTCATGTGTATGTTTGTGTCCTTGCAAGATAATCGTGAATAGATATGAAGGTTCCCTGAAAACTGATGGTAAGTTTATTTGTTTCCTTTCTTGTTTAACTTTTTGAGAGTTGTTTACAAGCAGCAGGCCCATTCTTTGTCTTATGTGACAGAGCACTGGAACAGGCTGCCCGGGAAGGTTGTGGAGTCTCCTTCTCTGGAGATCTTCAAAACTCACTTGGACACAGTCCTGTGCCACGTGCTCTAGGTGACCCTGTGTGTGCAGGGGGGTTGGACTAGATGACCTCTAGAGATCCCTTCCAACCTTAAGGATTTTATGATTATATGTTACTATTTGAGAGGAGATTGCATACACTCATGGAATAAGATGAGGGATATAAGATGTACTCGTAAAGTAAATGGATGGTGTGTTTGAGAGCAAGTCTTGTATTTTTCTGCCTGATCCAGCATCTAGGATGACTAACAAAAAACAGTGGGTTTTTAATCCCTCTATTGCCAGTGGAAGAAAGGCAAATGATGTGAATAAGTCGGCTCTTAACACTTTCTTTTTCCACTGATAAATGCTGTCAGCAGCAGATCACTGTTGTACATTTTGGGAAATCAGGTAAGAGTACTTTAAAAATTACTTTGAGACATTCATTCTTTCCAATGAATTTCTGCTTGAACCTCCTTAATTAACAATCATACATAAAGCCACTTCATGTTCCCAATGTAAAGGATATCCTGCAGTCTGGGAGGAACCAGTGCTTTTAAAATGTACTTTTATTTACTAAGCCAGATGGCTTTTCAAATGGAAAGGGTTTTTTTTTGATTGTTTGTTTTTAAGATCAGATGCCTAGAAGTAAAGGATTTAATGCCTTATTTCAGCATTCAGTTAGTCTAACTTTTAGATGTATTCTAATTCCTGACTTAGAATTTTGGCCTAACATTTTACATGTTTAAGGAACTTTTAATAGGAGCTATGGTTTAGGCAGTTCATCTTATTGTTGCTACCTCAATTCTCAAATGTCAGAGAAGACAGATATTGGTTATGCTACAAAAAGGTCACAGAGGCTGTGTATAGTTCTGCAGAATTGCACAAAAGGGCAAATCCTCTTCTGCAGCTGCCACTGAACAAGGCTTGATTATAATGTTTTCTGACAAGAGTTCTCCATTATTTAAAAAAATATATAATTTTAAGAATACAAGAAGTCATTGGGTAAAATACTGGAAATGTGCAACTTGAGCTGTGTTTAGAAGTCATAATTCAAAGAATAACATACAGTTTCACACACCAGACTGGTGAATTATTTACGATGAAATTTTTCCAAAATTATTAACTTCTACTTAAAATGATACAATAAAATCCATTTAGCTTTATAAAGTACAAGGGAATACAAATATGTCTTACTATGGATTTGATTAATCCAAGTTTCAAAATAGTTGGTAATTTGGTTTAGCCAGCTAGAGTCAATTGAATTATTTCTACTTTTCTACCTCTGGAGCTGTATTTTATTCCATGTGGGAAGCACTTTCTTCTGATAATAAAATTACTGGATTTCATTTTTTGCCCTCCCTCCCCCACTCGTCAAAAAAAAAAAAAAGTGATAGCTGTGTTCATTTTTAAAAAATTGGCAGCAAATTTTGAGCATGCACTCCCTCAGTAACAATTGTGTTTATGCTAAATGGGTTATTCAAAGCCAGGTTTCATTTTGATTTACTCATACTAATTGTACAAGTACCAGAAATCTGGGATGGAGATCCTGATTCCTCTGTGTACATAATGATTTTTTTTTTACTTAACTATTTGAAAATAACTTTCATCATAAATTTAAATCTACCTCCCCTGAATGTCATTTTATTAAAATACTTCAGTGTGAGTTCACGTTATCAGACCCTAATTTTAAACACTGCAAGTAGTAATTTATCTTTTTTTTTATGTTGCTTTGATAATTGTACAAACGTAAATGGATAATCTTTTATCCCCACTAGCTTCTGCAGGGGTTTTAGCATTTTACATGGAGTCCACATTTTTGTTTCTGTACCAACCCAAACTGTATTTTTTTGACTATTGTATTATATATAGGTAATTACAGTCACTTATAATTTCTTAAATTTATCAAATAGCTGAAAGGAGCATTATTAGTAAGGAATAGCCAAGGAGTCATCTGTTATGAACAATAAAACAACCTTCTTTTCATCTGCAGCCCAAACTAGGTTGCTGTGAAAGCCCATCTGTGTTGAGTGATTTGTCTGGACCTGCCCAGCAGGCAAGAGGAGTGAGAGCCGTTGTTCCAGATGCCAAGGGCAGGACTGTTTTCCCTGTGGCCACAGACGGATCCCACTTGTAGCAGCTGGGAGATGGTCCTACACGATACCAGCTTTCCTGGCACCGAGGAGACGCTTCTGAGCAGCATTTTAATCTGTAAACAGGTGCAGGGCAAACATGGGAAGATTAGCAGGCATATTATTTTGTGGTATATAAGATGGTGAGCTGGATTGCAAAATTAAGGAATAAAAAAATACTGTAAATTCTCTTAAAACTTTATTAATATAATTCACCATCTTTCCTTTTAAACTGTAACTGCTTTTGAGAGTTTTATTTTCCCTTCCCCGTGGCTACTAGCTTCACGGCTGGACTCAGCTCCTTGCAGTTACGGCTTTCTGACTTGCTTCCTTTTTCACTCTGCCCAGTCTCTAATCAAGGATGAACGAGCAGAAACTCGAGCTCCAAAAGTCACATAAGAACAATGTATTTCAATCAACTTCCTTTAAGCTCTCTAGTAGAAAGCTGAGAAACTCGAGCCACATCCTGTTCAATCCCCCTTTCTTCACCATCCCACCTTCTATTCTTTTGCCTTCCTCTGCAAGGATTTGCTATTTGGGAGAATCTGATAGTGTTCCTAGTCACTTTAATTTCTCAGTTAAGCTTAAATAGGTATTTTTGGTTGTCTTTTCGCTCCCCAAACAATCTAAATACTGAGCACAGTGCAAGCACTTAAGTGTTTCTACGTAGAGACAGCTGGACCTGTATGGACACATCAGCTCTGTCTCAACACTAGAGCTGGAACTAGGAATGGGGGCTGGAAAAACTAAAGCAGCTCTCGTAACGCATTCCAGGTATCCTCTTGCTAGCACGACGCGTTCTTCCAGCACAGTTTTAAGTTTTCGGTTGCTTTTCCAAGAACGGCACCGCTCACAGGGAGAGGAGCGAGCGCTGCCGCGGGCAGCTCCCCACGGCCCTGTCACAGGACCCGGGGCAGGCGCGGGCCAACGGCCGCCCGGCGGGGCGCGCCGCCCCGCCAACCCCGC